TAGTAGACGACCAGGTAGTAGCCGGCCGAGTTGAAGACCCACCAGAGCGACCAGACGCGCAGCTGCGGCAGGCGCAGGCTGGCCCCCAGCTCCCGCAGCATGCGCACCAGGACAAAGTCCCTGCAGGCGGCCCGCAGCTTCCCGCGCGGCGCCGGGCCGGGGCGCATGGGGCCCAGCTCCGAGGGCGAGGCCCCGCGCAGGGGCGCACCGCGGTTGAAGAAGAGGCTCCGCTTGGGGCGCTTCAGGAAGAGCGCGAGCAGCAGGCTGAAGATGAGGAAGCCCAGGGACACGTAGTTGAGCGTGGTGAAGGACACGCCGCCCGCGGTGACCAGCAGCTGGCCCAGCACCGAGCTGGTGAACACGCCCAGCAGCACCGCGGCGCGCGAGTAGCCGGCCATGCGCTGGTAGCGCGCGGGGCGCACGAGGGAGAAGATGTAGGAGGAGTAGGCGATGCGCGCGGCCATGGTGACGCTGTAGAAGAGCTCCATGAGCTGCATGTGCAGCACCGAGCGGCCCTGCAGCAGCAGCAGCCACACGCACACGAAGCTCAGGCCCTGCAGCAGCAGCACCGGCTTGTAGCGCAGATAGTCGGTGAGCAGGAAGACGGGCACCAGCACCAGCATGTACGAGTAGGACAGCACCGGCATGATCTCGTTGGTGACCTGCGGACGGGCCGGCGCCAGGCCTTAGCGACCTCCGGCCACGGAGGGACGGATCCCCACCCACGCAGCGACCCGCCTCCCCAGGACCCCCGGTCCCGCTGCACCGTCCTCTCTGAACACGGCCGGCGGCCCAGGCCCATCTGGGCAGCCTGGGAAACCCAGGAGCCCGGCCCGACTGGCCACTAGACCCAGGCTCGGCCGGGCGGGCGAGTGTGTGCCCACAGAAAGCCGCAGCGACCTCAGGAATGATCGTTCTTCACCACACATCAATCACGTCAATCAAGGCTCATCTACTTTCAATGGAATAAAACACAGTTTGATTTCATCTTAAATCTAACAGCGTGGAAAACAGCCGTAACAGAGACACCGCGCCCCCATGAGCCACCCACGGTCCTACAGGGGATGTCAACGAAAGGCACAGACAGGGGCAGACGGGGAAGATGGAGCTCACAGGACACAGAGGGGAGCGGGAGAGGACGGAGCAGAGGACAGAGGAGAGGAGGGCGGGGAAGGGAGGGAGGCGGCACTCTCCGCCACACTCGTCCCAGAGCTTGTCCCAGAGCGAGATCTCCACCTGGGGAGCAGGAAGAGCACCCCCGGAGATGGCCCAGGCCACGTTCAGGGACAGCACCCCGTGCCCCGCTGGCTGGCTGGGCAGGGCCAGGACACACCGGGGGCCTGGGCAGGGGCTGCCTTGGGTCCAGCTGTGCACACTCCAAGGGCAGGCCCACCTGTGACAGGCCCAGGTCTCCGGGGGACAGGGGAGCCACCCTGCGTCGGCACCAGGTGAGCCAGCCGGGCCTTGCAGGGCTCTCTGTGGCCGAGGGCTCCCTCAGCTCCTGCCTGCTCAGGTCGCTAAGCCCGACTCAGGCCTGACCACCAGCAAGCCCAGCGCTCTCCCCGTGCAGTGCCCCAGAGGACCCAGAGGGCCAGGACCCCTGGTCAGTACGTCCCTCAACCCTCGTGTCTGCTGTGTGGCCTGATGCGGCCACCGGCCATCGTGGTCATCTGTGAGCAGGACCCCGGAGCCGGGCCAGGGGTCAGGGGACCAACACGTTGAGAAGCCTCCACAGGCTCGGAGAGCGGCCGCCCGCAGGCACTACCCGGACAGCCGAGCTCCCCGACGCCCTGAGCCTGCGTCCTCAGAAGAGCCGGGATGACCCCAGAGGGCCTGTGGGCCCAGCCACGCCAAGCACCAGAGGCCGCCCAGCACCCTCCTCTCACGTCGGGACCTCCGTGCTGGGTCCCAGAGAGCTTGGGGGCCCGGCGGCAGGGTCTGCACACGTTCGCGGTAGA